CCCCCCCCCCCCTTTTTTTTTTTTTGGGTGGGGGCAGGGGGGGATGGGGGGATATTTACTACCCTGTTTTGTTCATGTCCCAACAAAATACCATGTTCAAACTTTGAACATATCCGATGAAATATCCTACACCACCTTAAGTGTAAATATTCCTAATAAATTTGTAAAAGGAAAAAGAAAGAAACGGTGTTTCAAAGTGGGCCATGCATGTCAAACAATTTGAACTCAGACGAACAGATTATCAAAGAAATTAGAATGATCGAGATGTCCTATCATTCTATGACGCCTGGAGATGCGCTGAAATTTGATATGATGTTTCATGCGCCAAACAGATGCCCCGAGAAAATCAAGCAACATGATTGTCAATGTAACTTACTTAATCATCAACTACAATATGAGAATGCTCCAAAATAGGCAACTACATCAACATCTTGGATGAGTAACAAGCAGATAAGTTGGAATTACAAACAAAAGCATAAAGGGAGGCTTGAGATTCTAAGACTTCCTAATCTGAATAATTTACCTGAACAAGTTGTGGGCCTGCTAACTTCAGAAAGGTCGCATTTGTTTGTGCTGCACATGCACGAGCCATCAATGTTTTCCCAGTTCCAGGCGGACCATACAGAAGCACACCTTTAGGTGGTTTGATTCCCAATTTCTGGAATCTGTCTTTATGGGTCATCGGCAATACAATGGCCTCAACAAGCTCTTGGATCTATAAAGTTGAATAACAAGCAGTTAGACAGAAGAGACAGAAAGAACAAAAGCTCTTGTGAATACTTGCTTCAGTCTTAGGTCATAGATATCCAAACACGGAGTACTTGTGCCAAATCATCAGAAAACTTCAAATCACAGTTTGATATAAGTAAAAGAGAATTAATATTGAATCCTTTACACTGAAAATAGTCCCCAGATATACTACCTACGAGACACTATATTGTTAAATTCTTCTTTTCCACTTGCACTAAACCTAAATTGCAATGCATCAAAGAAAGGAAATAAACGGTACTCTATTGGATCCTTCTTATGGATATAATGCTACATTATGCTGGAATAGTTTGTATGAGTGTAACTGCATTAGCTTCTAACTGTAGAATACATGTACTAAATTAGTAATATGATGCTATAATGAGGGATACTTTATAGCATGTATTTGACATGCTCTTTATTTATTTAAATATTCTGTCCACTTCACATACACAAAAGATAACAACGTCAGGTTATGTGCTCTCACTTCACCAGAACCTAGCTTTCCATTGCTTTACATGATTACACCATACACATTAGCAGTACACACTAACTTATTAAACTAGCATTGTTCTCAGCCTCTTTGGTGAACATGACAGGTCGCTCTGGTGCTAAGTCACTATCGAAATTGATACATAAGCTTTAGAATTGTACCAAAGAGGCAGCAAAATGTAAATGCAGTTTCATTACATTTCTAGGAAGTTCATGCAACATAAAAACTACTACCTAATAACTTGACTTGCAGCTCAGGACATTAATGAAACTTCCATAAAACTTCAGTTATCACAAACTACACTTACAAATTAAGTGCATTAACCAACTTGAGTGACAAATTACCTGCTTCTCAAGGCCACCAATATCATTGTAGTCTTCTGTCGGTTTCTCATCCACCTCCATTGCCTTCACTCGCGAATCATATTCTGATGGAAGAGTGTCTAATATCAAGTAACTGTCTTTGTTTACTCCAACCAAATCTCCAGGTTTCAGCTTATCAGGGTCAACCAACCCAACAACAGGGAGAAAAATTGTCTGCAACCAGTAGAATGGCATTAAGAACTCTTGCTACCTACAGCTTGAAGAAATTGACTATACACACAGTAGAAGTGATTTCTATACAATTATGTTAAAATCCTAGTGAAGGTACAAAAAAGATTGTAGGAAATTTTGCATTCCAATAGAAGTGTGAGGGGTATATTGGTAATGTAGCAGATGTTTTTTCAAGAAAAAAATAAAAAAGAGAGCAATAGCGGATCGCGGCGCGTCGCGGCGAGATACCGCTAAGGCTATATCGGGCTATTGCGGCGAAATCGCGGAAAATAGCGCACAGTCAAATAGCGGTCAAATTTAAATATATTTAAATATCCTAAATAATAAAAAAATTCATAAAAAAAATCTAAAAATTCAATTAGTTATAAATTTCTTGTATTATCAATAAATAACAATTAATAAGCTTGTTGTATGAATGAAACTATGAAGAAATTTAAGAAATATAGCATCATAATATGTGTGATAGCGGGTTTAGCCGCTTTTAACAACAAAAATCCGCTTTTAACTGCGAAAATCCGTTTTTAACCCGCTAAAATCCGCTTTTACGCGCTATTCGAATGAATAGCGGGTTTTCCCGCTTAAGCCAGCCGCGAAACCCCTACGCGTAGCGCTGAAGGGCCGCGACCGCTATTCGCGCCGCTATAGCCCCGCTATTGGCCGCTATTTACAACACTGCTTCTCATCCTTCCTTTTCCTCATGTTTTCTCTTGGGTGTTTTTTTGTTAGGCCCTTTGGGAACTTTTATTTGCAATTGTCAATGATACATTTGCTCCCTCTACATATATTGTATAAAATTAAGACTTTTGTGTAAAACCTTTAACATTAAAATTGGTATGCCATACAAGCAATGAATTATAATATTAAATTTTAGAAAGCATAAAAACAATCTCTAATATTTAACGTACAAGTAGAAAACCATAAAATTGCAAGTATAAAAAGTGTATTCTTTTAAAAACTATATAAAGCAATTGCTAATATTTGTTAAAATAAAAATAATATCATTCTTCCATCTTTAGAAAAGAGTTTCATACAAGCACTTTCAGCAATTTTCTCAGTTTTTTTTTTCAACCACACAAATAAGAAAGTACATAACATGCATTATCAACTTATTGTATTTCAAAGCTTTTATCTGAAAAGTAAGTTTGATATGTCGTAGAAGAGGAAGTTGAAAAATGTCAAGACATACTAGAAAAAGAAAGTAGTTTGCTTCTCATCACATAAATTAGTAAAATGAAAGCTGATTAAAAGCTATTTTTCAGTTTTAATAATCTAGCTTGTGATTGTTTACTACCTTTTAACAGAAAAATTAGAAAAATAAGTTTTAACATGTTACTCATGCAATTGCACGTGCAAAGATGCTAGTCTAAATAGAGTTAGAAGAATATCTAAGCAGTAAGCACGCAATAATATGTCCAAGAGTAATGCTACAGATACAATAATTGGTATTTTTTTAGTTTCTTCTATCTTCCCAAGGTAGGAAATAGGGCGCACATGCAAAACGACACGAGAGTTGTGCAATTTGCATATACATCCCCTAATGTCACCTTGGAGGAAGGGAAAACGCGATGCAATTCTGACCTTAACTTGAGAAAAGGATATTGCAGTGAGAAGTTAAAAGACAGGCTTTTATAGTTTCGTCAAGTGTTCCCAATTTGTTATTAGAAGGCATGTTGCTGATTGAAGAAGCACAATACTAGATAGCTTTGGCATCTTGAATTAATAAAAATCAATTACTATAAATGGATAATTGGATAAGTTAGTTATAACAATAGATTCACTAGAGTTTGTGTCCCAAGAATCAAAGCAAATATTACACTTGTAGACCTCCATTACCCAGTCTTTTTCCATTTTCAAATTTAACGAAAAAAATATTTTTCCAAAACTAATAATCATGATTCTATCAGATAAGGTTTATTTTAAACATCCCTAAGATTGGTAAGAAAACATATTCAGACAGAAGTATAATCAGTATAACTTCCATTATCAAGGGTTTTTCTTTGTTCTTTTAACTTAAAAAAGAAAATTGACTGTCAATGAGAATTGTATGCCACCAATTTTTTGTAGCATTTCTTCTATACAAGCAAATATTTGGACATGCACAAATGCAAGATAATGACAGACATGAAATTGGATATACTTCTGAATGATCATTCAGATTTACCATCTAACGAACTTCTATTAAAAAAGGAACTGAAGTTACACTTATTCTCTAATAATACTGATTAATAAATATAAAACTGAATATAATATTGACTGACATGGAATATGATATACTTTCCAAGGATCATGTGAAATTAGCAAATAATGGACTTCTAACAAAAGACAATTGAAGTATCATTTTTGCTTTCTATTAACAGCAGTTAAAAAGAAGGGAAAACAGTGTATAGTATTTACCTGGCGAGTGGAAGTTTTTAATACAACACATTTTCCCTTCCTTTGTGAATCAAGGTCAACATTTGCACCATCTTCCTCAGCCTCATCTTCAGGATTCATTTCCAAAATCTAAACACATGATAAGATAACTAAGACCATAAACTTACAGGTAAATAAATTAGCAACTAGTAAAACCAATATGTATCAAGACCTCGAGGGGCAAGACAAATATCATAATCACAAAATCTCATGTACACAGCAACAACATCCACGAAAATACAACAGTAGAAACATTAGGCCTGTTCTCGAAAGTGTGCTCCTCTGAGACATGTAATAAATATCCAGGTATACTATCCACAGACCTTGCTTCAAAGAAGAAAAATGCCTGATATCACAAAGAATTGTTGTCCTTGTGTTTTGTTAATGAAACTAAATTAATGATGTGTACTAATGATATTTGTCTAGCACTTTGTATGTGCAACAACTGTGGACATTTGGATGATGACGAGAATGACTACAAGTTGCTCAAAAATATCAAAGTAGAGTGCAGAACACCGCACACTGCGGTGAGATCCGAACCATAAGGGGTAGTAAAATACCCAAACTCCCCCCCTCCCCCCCTTCCTAACGAGTTATCTCAATGGCTCAGAATGCCCTACACATGGCTGTTACCTACTTCTCTTTGTAAGAGAGAAGGAAAAAAGGAATAAAATATTGAACAAGCTTCGTTGGAAAAGCCAAACATAAAATGCATGTGATCTGATGATCAGTTGCGTTAAATGTTCAATATATTAGAGCCACCACAAAGGACAACTTATCAACTTTAATGACAAGTGTCAAATCAAAAATAAGGAGCCAGATAACAAAGTGACCGATCAAAGAAATGGCCACGAATAAAATATTAACAAACATAAAATTCTCTTTCAAACAGAGTGCAACAGAGTTCAAGTAGGAGCAAATGAACCATGAAAGTGCTTTTTTCAAAATAAAACCATATTGTAAAAATATTTTCATAAAAGCATTTCAAAAAAAAACTTTTGGACCAAACTTATGCAAGTTCCACCATTGAAAAAAGCGGTGAAAAACAGTAGTATAAGCGGAAGCGGCCCTTGGCCACTTCGCTTTGCCTCAAAGCAGTAGTGTAAAGCGCCATCGACTCTTTTTGCTCACAATGGCGCGAAAAAAATAGTGAAAAGGGGTGAAATGCGGCTAAAAGCACTTTAAAAAGCTTAATTAAAATGCAGAAGATGATAAACGGGTCTCAATTTTGCACTTGACCCAACCTGAAGCCTTTTTAAACACATAAAATTCATCGTATCTCACTCTCTCTATTTTTCTTTCTATGTTACGAACACAAAAGACACTAAGACTCATCCTCCGCTTCCACCACCTCCAGCCACCAACCCCGCCACCT